TGTATAAAACATGCTTCACACTTACTTTGATCATTACTTAAGCCACCTTTGGCGCATCTGCCAGAAATCTCCAGTACTAGACACAAAATCAACAGTTTCCATTTTCAAAATGCACTACGTAACTTTGTCTCTTACAAGTCTATCAAAATGTTGCAAATGTTCGAGTATAGTCTTTACACAATGAACATCACACGACTGACATTAGAGACTTATGTGAACTTAAAATTCGATAATTAACATTTATGAGGTGGGTGGAAGTGCTCAAGTATAATAATTTATATACATATATAAATCATACCATTAATAATTGCTTATATATATAGGCAAAGGATACATTATCTGTAAATAAAATATAGAGTATAACAAACAAAAGCATTCACATACATATATAAATCACACCTTTAATAATTGTTTATATATATAGGCAAAGGATACATTATCTGTAAATAAAATGTTTAATTATAAAATTGATTCAAAATGGGGGCCCTGAAAGACATAAAGTACACCCAAACACTTTCACACACCCATTTTTTCGCGATGAATTTTTATATCATGTTGTTCTACAAAATTAATTAAACAATTTGATGCACAAATTAATTAAATCTAATTAAGGATTTAATTAATAACTCTTAATTAACGAGACACATGTTCACATACAAAAATCTCTTTGACATTTGAAATGAATGAAGTTGGAAGTGAGAAGACCGTAGCCACTTGCACAATTTAAAGCGCGAAATTCAAACAGAAAATTTAATATTTTACGATTACGATTTGTCATCAAAATTTGTTCAAAGTGATTATATATTAGATTTGCTTGAAAATATAAAATTCTCCAGTTAAAATTGTTTTATGAAATTATTTTAGCTTATTAATTAAATGTTTGATTTTGATTTTATACTTAAAACAAACTGAAATTGAATTATAATTTATATATCACAATATTAAAAATGAATTAAATTATAAGGTTGATTAAAATATAATGCAATTATTGTTTATTAAAACATAATACCTTGAGGAAAACATGATAAATATTATATTTATGAAGATGGCAATAATTTTGAACAGAAAAACTTGATCAATTTTTGACTATTTTTAATAAAAACGAATCGATTTCATTGAATTATGTAAACATACAATTATGTATATGACTTGAATAATTTTAATCTTTAAAAATAACTTTTATGGCCTCTTTTTGTTATATATATAATAATTATATATATATATATATATATATACCCAGTAAACACGCGATATGGCCACAACATCGTGGCAATATTTTATTTAGGTCGTGTGACATGCGGTTCCCATATTCATTTTCCTCGATATTACATGGATACGGCCGCAAATTTATGTAACTATCGAACAACTATCGAGGTTCGGTCTCTGGCGCACGTGGCGTTCGTGATACATGAAAATCGACGTTGACCCACATATGTTTGTTTATTATGATAAGACCGTCTGACGTAAGGCGTTAACCCCAGTCATGACGTCATTGGCGAATGAAAACGATTCGGTCATGACGTCATACAAAATGGCGACTCAGTTATGACGTAATAGCACCTGAAAGTGATGACGTAATGCAATTAATATTCTTTTCTGTACGAATAAGCATTTATTTACGTGAATAATAAGAAATTTTACAATATTTAAATATTACAAATTAGAATTGTAGTTTTGAAATTATAAAATTTTAAAATGAACTATACTAGAAAACTTTTTACAAATTATTCAATCTTAACATATTAATAACAGTATATTTAATGAAAATTGTTGTATATCTAATGAACGTAATTCTATTTTTGGGGCGTGAAGTGTGAAGTGTTGCATAAGTATTCTATCGCCACTTCCTTATACATCAAACAGCCTGCCTATTTTTCATTATTTCATTCTATCGCCAGTTCATTGCATCAAATGCCAGGATACAGATTATGCACATATGACATACTGCCCCAAATTTTGGAAGTTTTCTAAAACAAATTCAAACAATGTGATTTACTGTATATAATGTAATATATATATATACATACAGCTACCATATGTGTAGCTACCTACATGTTCAGTGTACAAATCTCCATCATCTTAAAGTCGCTTTTACACATACATTTTTAACACTGACTGATTTCATTCTATCGCCAGTTCGATACATCAAATGCGAGGATACAGGATATTCATATATGATGTACTTCTTGGAAGTTTTCTAAAACAATTTGAAACATAAAGTGTTTTATTGAATCTAATAATATATATACCACTCCATATGTGTAGCAACTTACATATTCAGGAGACAAATCTAAATCGTCTTCGAGTCGCTTTTGCACATACATTTTTTTTAACCTGATTGAATTCATTCTATCTCCAGTTCATTATACATCAATTGCTAGGGTACATCAAGTTCATGCATACATGACATACTGTTCCCAATTTTAGAGGTTTTCTAAAACAATTATAAATATAATGTATTTGTTACCAAATAATGTATATACAGCAACTATATATGAATCAACTTACATATTAAGAAGATAAATCTCCATCATCTTCAAGTTGCTCCTACACATACATTATTTAAGCCTGTCTAAAGATCTGTATATTGTTCACCGTTTCATTCCAATTTTGTACGACTTCTGAAATAAATATGAACATGGCATACGTGTTTGCAGTTTATATATATTTTTATAGTTATTATATTTATAGTGACTTACATATTCAGACAATCATCCTCGAGCCACTTCTCCACCGACTAATTTAAGAGATTTAAGAAGTGAGGTTATGTCAAACACATGGATATGTTAATGTCCTAATGTGGTAAAATAATTATTTTAACCTTGCTAAACGATCCCTATTATTGTCCTCAGATTTTGTAATATATGCTATTTGGTTACCTCCTTTGTCATCTAAAGAAATCGACATAAAATAACGTTTCTTCATCCCAGGATATAATGCACTAAATGGAATTCAAAATCGTGAAGTAATTACATATCTATATAAATAATATATGATATACTTACGGTGTCATTTTTCTACACTTTTCAACAATTATCACTATAAACAAGTTGCTTAACTAAACGAATGTAATTATTATACAAAGAAAATATAACTTGATACATGACAAATTCCTGACATATTGCGCCATTTTGTACGCGGTTAGGATAGCTTTCGTCAAAGGAACAGTCAACCCGCTTGAGTCGGTTCAGCCAGTGGCCACAGCGCGCTGATGTAAAGCTTTCTTTGTATGGTCACACACACCAGCACACAACGCACACAACGCACACAACGCAGCGCACGACGCGTTTGCTTCACGCCGTGTGACGTCATTGATTATGCTTTGCATGTGTGCTAACACACACCAGCGCACAACATGTATCTCACATGAAATGCAACGATGTCATTACCCCCGACAGCGCGTGTTTATGTCACTCAATGCGAGCTTTGCGTGTATTGTAACACACACAAGCGCACGCAAGTTTAAAATCCTCTTGTGGCGTAGATTCGATAACTGCATTATAATAACGATGTCGATATTATAGAAGATCACATCGCGTGTTTACTGGGTATATATATATAACTTTAGCTTGAATGAGCACTTAAAGAATGCCAATTGTTGAAAGTTTACATTTGACTTATAAATAATATTTTGCTATATTAAATAATATTCAAAGTTATTAATATATAAATAAGTTAATTTACTCCTTAAATTATTACATAAATCTAAAATAAGTCAAACAAATAAGAGGCAGCAATAATATTTTTAAAGAATAAAATTACCCAAGTCATTACTTAAACCACCAAATTTATTAAAATGATTACAAGAATTCACACACACATATATATATATATATATATATATATATATATATATTAATAATAAATAAATTTATTACACACTATTATGCCACATATAATATAATATTTTAAATGAGAAAATTATAGAATTACAGTTATTAAAAGAATAAATTGAAAATGAGTTGCACACTACTGTAAACTTATACACATAATAACTACAAACTCTCTAGTTAATTAGACACAACCCACCATATTATTATTTAAGATTTTACTTTTTCTCCAGAAAATCCGACCAAAATTAAAAAACCTATGTGTCATATATATAATTTTTATTTTATCATGTGTGTTCTGTATATAAAACAAATTTTTATATAGTTTTTAAAATGCATCCAAAATAATTTTGGGATAAATAATTCAATCATTTTAAAAAGTCTACGGAGTCATGTAGATTTTATTGAAGTTATATATGATTTGACACGATTAAACAAGTTGAGCCATTTTTAAAATAATGCTAAGTACACAAGTCAAAAATATTTAGAAAAGATCTTTAAGAAACAGCAAATATTATTGTGTTTCATTAAACATTTTAACTTATGAATTTATTGAAAAATTTAATGAATCGCTCAACATATGAGTTAATCGAATTTTTATTGATTGAATAAATAAATAATCGAAAATGAGTTGCACATTAATTAGACACAACCCACCATATTATTTAAGATCTTACTTTTTCTCCAGAAAATCCGACCAAAATTAAAAACTTATGTGTCACATATATACTTTTATTTTACCATGTGTGTTCTGTATATTAAACAAATTTAAACTATCAGCTTTTTCAGAAAAATGTCTGCATCATTTTCAAAATTTGATTCAATTTTGAAATTACTTGATAAAACTTACTACAGAAGGATGCATGTTGACTACGATGCAAGGTATCAGTTTACTAGTTTAATGCAACTTGAAACTTAAAATCTTTAACGACTTAACAAAAACTGAAGAATTGTATTAACCTGCCACAAAGATTTGTTAAAGATTGTGATCCCTTAATGATCAAGTTAATTGTTCGGTTATCATTAAAAGAATTATCATTACTAATAGTAATGAAATATGAAGTAATGAAATACTTCATTTTAACAAAAGTTAAAAGTTAACAAAACATGCACATTTAAATAATTGATTTTGTAATACATATCCTGAAAGTTGAAATTCAAACAACCAAGTTGGGTTTTTAATGAGCTTATTTATTTAATATTAAAGTCAACAATACAAGTAGCATATCTTCATTCAGAAGCGCACCCTGAAACAAAAAGAAAATAGATTAAAATCTAGAAATAGTAACAGTAAACTAAGCTAATGAAATATTAATTATATATACAAAGTGTCTGGCAACCTTAGTTCTGCCATCAGCTACATAGCTATGCAGGTGGAAATTGCCACTTTAATCTCCCTCCGCAGGAAAAGATGAAGCATTAAATCAATTTGCTACAAATTTTCATACAAAGGGATCGGGAGAAGTCTTATGAGAAAAGATGAGTAAACTGATCTCGAAAAGGTCACTAAATGATCAAGACTGATGGGATTTAATTGTATGTACTTACATTTTATATTGTTAGCTTATTTGGAACGTGCACGCATCTTCCTGCGTTTACGCTTTAGCCTGCGCATTCTCTTCTTACGCCACTGAAAAATAAAATTATAGTTTAGAAATCAACTACAAATAATCTTTTATAAAAAGTATTCAATAGAGAACATGGCGTTTACAAAAATACACTACACAGAATTTTTTATAGAATATGTTTAAAAAATGCAACAATTTTAATTGAAATTGAATTATTTATCCTTATGAAGTATTATCTGATTGAACTACACGTACACATATTGTTTCCGAACATAACCTAATCACAAACCACGTTGAAAATAAATTTCGAAGTACGAATAATTCAACTAAACCATTATCAAATAGAAGTAAAACGCAGTTTGTACATAAATAATAAATAGCATGAAGCTATTAATGCTCACGTTAAACTCTACGAACAATTAAAATACCACGCGTTCCATGGCGATTTCATCCGTGCCCAAAACCTCAAATTTCAACACGGATTATAAAAAAAAATACATACACCTCACAATATAAATATAAAGAAAATTAATTTCACTAACCTTAGCTCTCATTCTCCTTGATTACTTAAGCTTTTCAAGCAATTTAATGTTTGGCCATGCACTTGTAATGGAGTCGACTAGTCAACGCTGATGTCGGAAGAAAAGAATGAACGTAGTATATAATTCTGGAAACCTTCTTTAGTATAGTTGTATTATTAGTCGGTAGAGGCGCTAGAACATAGGATGGGCGGTAATGGCGCCTTATTTGAATGTTTAAATTTAAAACATATATTTATTGCAATATATTATATTTAAAACTTCGAAAAATACGGTTTATATTGCTCTATCAATAGTTAAATATATTAACAGCGTTCAATTTGAAGTTTGCATTCTCATTACAATTTATCTTTTGTTCTGATTTACTGCTTATGCTTACAACTTCACACGGTTTATATTGGCGCGGAATTTGAAAATGTTAAAGAATATTATACTAAAAAATTACAATTAAATTTAGTTGTATAATTGATAATATATAGTACATTACCTTTAATAATATATTACATGATTATTAATACACAAATAAATAAGTAGTAATCACATAAACGTTTATAAATAAAAAAATATATTGAAACATATAGTATAAAATGCATAAGTTGAAGAAAAGCAATATTTATTATTATACAATTATATATCATACAATTATATATCAACATATATTATATTTTATATTTAGTCAACAGGTTTGGTTTACTTTTTGCATCCAAAATTTAATTTATATAAGAAGAAACAATATATGTGTGTGTGTATAATAGTAATAAGTAAAAATATATGTCTTAATGTAAGTCTGTTACATAAAATTTAGATTTTATTTTTGTTATAATTGCTGTGATCTCTCATGCCAGAACAATTGTCTGACTGAGATACAGTATGTATGAATTATATCAAATAAATAAATAAAAAAAATATATAAAAATTGTAAATGAGTGTTTTAATGTTATTAAATAACTAAATAAATTTGATTTGATATATATATATATATATATATATATATATATATATTGTGTATTTTTGCCTTTTTTTATTCATAATAACATATTTATTATATTATATTATTATATTATCTAATATACCTTATGCATACTTTACAGAAAACCTGAAGAAACACAGTATTTTTCCTAAAAAACAATATACATATATTATAGAAAAACAATTACTAAAAATGATAAAGAATTATAATTTACTATTTATTTTTTCATCTTACTTATGTACTAGATTAATTTTACATATTCAAATGTTAACTGTTAGAAAATGTCTAAAATAACACTACAAAATTATTACAATAATATTTAAATACAAGGATTTTTTTGAAATTATTCTTCAAGAAATCTATATTGATGAGTCTTGGTTATGTTTGTGTTGTATTGAACTCGAAGAATGAACTCAAAAAAGTATTATTGTTAATTTGTTATTCATGATACTTACGACAATGCGTGATTACAGAATATAATTATTTTCTTAAATGCATTTATTATATTCTTTAATCACATATTGTCATAAGTTCGTATTCTCCTTAATAATCATATAATTTTTTAACTTCCCGTAGGGTAAGTTATAGTATTAACTTCCCATAGGGTAAGTTATTGTAATCATCCAAAAATCGAAATTGAAAATTTTTGCATTTCTCGACGTTTTGAAGGTTTCTGAACAATTTGGCATACCTCAGAAAAAATGGATGTGTGTGTGTGTGTACGTATGTATGAATACAATTTTCCAGTCACGTTTTCGGGCGCACGGATCGATTTGAATGGTTAAAAAACCGATTTGAATGGTTAAAAAACATTCGATTCCTATTGATAGGGAGATGAGCTGATTAGTTTTTGGTAAAGGAAGATCCAGCATCGAGTTTTTGAGAAAACAGAGCATCCGATTTGAATGATCTAAAAAACATTCAATTTGTAATGATTGGGAGAAGAGATGATTAGATTTTGGCAAAAGCAGGCCCAGCCCTTTCGATAATACAGAGCTAAATGTGCAAAAAATAGCAGTTTTTGAAAGAACTAAGCGTCGGATTTAAATGATTGAAAGAACTTTCTGCTTGTTTTAACAAAATAATTGATTTTAGAAAAACAAATTTTTGTTTTAAATTTTTTTTTTCATTTTTTTTCAAATAAATTTTATTTTAATTCTGCCTAAAGTTCTAATATACTTTAAACAAATAATTATACAATATATAATTCTTATAAATATTAGACAATGTTACCGTATTTATTTATAATAGTCTATTTGAAAGCATTTAATATTCCTCGAACATTTCGTTACGGTACGGGAAGTTCCAGCAATTGCCTTAAGGCACGATGCCATACACCCCACTAGTTTTGTCATTTGTTTGAGACAATTTGTTTTTTCAGTAATTATAATCATACATAATAAAAATATTCAAAATCGAGCAAATAAGTCTCAAAAATTATAAAAATTAAACTCGCTCAGTCCATTATAGTTTATCGTCAGAGACATGTCTCAGTCGCAAATTACCCATGGATAGCATCATAGCAAGCATTTAATAATATTTCGCAGAAATTTTTGGGTCTTCAGAGGATTCGAACCCGCAATCTCCGACTTATTAACATACGACAAGAGGCGCAACCGTATCAGCTACGGCGAACCTAGGTTGAACGCATGTTATACTCAATGGTTTCGGAGCCAAAGAGAATGAAGCCCAAAATAAAAACTTGTGAGGCGCATGGCATCGTGCCTTAAGACAATTTGCTGGAACTTCCCGTACCAATTTTTTTTTTAAAAAAGATTAACATATTTGAAAAACATTTACTCTGAAAAAATTAAATTTTTGAGAAACTATAAATTTTTGACAAAAATTTACTTTTTATTGAAAAAAAAGACTTTTTGAAGAAAAATTTGTTTTGAAATATTTTGGAAATTCTGAACTTTTTTTCAAAGCAATCGTACTGCTTTAACTGCATGGAGACGAAATATCGAAGCGCCGCGTCGTCTAACGGATAAACACTGGCACGGAATCCATAGGAATGTAAACAAAATTTATACTTATTGTTAAAATTTTCATAAAATATCTGATAATTTGATGTGCATAAGTCTAATGATCATTTTTGACCGCCAAATGGCATTATTTTTTACTTTTTTACTAGATTTCCGAAACCGCTAGACATATCTTGTTAATACAAGTAAAATGTTTTTTGAATTTGAATACGGAAAGTTAAAAAATTCATTGTTTCATAGAGACTGAAAATATTTATATGAACGCACTGAGTAGAAATTTCATTTAATTTAGTAAATTATTATTGATATTTATTTATTTATTATTATTATATTTTTTGTTTTATTTTTTATTGCAATCTATACAATAAAGAACATTTAGCTACAATTGTAGACAATTTAAAAATAAGACGTGCGAAAGATAACTATCTTATTTATATAATATATATATTGCTAATTATAATGAAATAGTATATAGTATTTTTCAATTAATATATGAACTATAAATAATAAATAATTTATAAATAAATATATAAATTTTTATAATAATAGTAGGGTGCACCTATTTAATAGGTGCACCCTGTGTGAATAAGCTTGATACTAACATAAATTTCTAATTGAAACTAATTCTTTAGCATTGCTTGATTTATATAATTATTTGTTCGTACCTTTACCGACATAAACTCAACCAAAAGATAAAAATTTAGATCAAGTTTTAAATTTATTCATTCATTTATTTATTTATTTACTTTACGCCCACGGCAATGATACATATTTCAGTTTAAGTGTGCAAGTTATAAATAAAGATAATTAGAGTATTTAAGAGATCATAGACAGTTTTTAACATTAGAAAATTCATTGTTTTAGTTTTTGCTAATGATATTACAACATTTTATGATTAAATCCTTTGATTGCAGAATGCTTATAATTTATACATAAATTATCACCTAAAGGTGTTTTAAATAATGACACAAATGATTTCTTAATATTGGATGATAATGAAAGTCATTTTTATAGTACCTACTCATGATACGTTGTATCTAAATTTCATTGATAAGTACAAAAATATTAAAAATAATTAAAATAAAATTCTGCATAGCGACCAGGGTATTAGGTAGTTTCCTAGTAAGTTATTATTAATATTTTTGCATTTAATATGATATATTTATAGCTGAATAATTAGACACATATAGTATTTAAAACTTATAATGTAATATAACTATTATCTATATATAATTTCGACGCATTATCATTTAAAACTATTTCTAATAAATATTCTATAGCGATACATTTAAATTATTATTGCTTTATATAGTTATAGTTATAGTTATATAATATAGTATATCATACTAACTAACCATTAACTTATTATTAAAGGTAATGGTTTAAACCATATTTTCAAAGTTCATAGACCAAAAATTATTCCAAATAATTTTCTAAACTCTTCATATGATTTAGAACTGCATAATATCTGTATGAGGAATTAATAACCTGCAATATTAAATAATAAGTATTTATTTATTTTCATACATACAAACTATTTATTACTCACCGATGTAATGTCCCAAACTAAGTTCCAGCATTTTTCCTGCATATAACTTTATAGGTCTCTTAGTGCTTTCCATAAATATTATTATTTTCTTCGAAAATCCTGATCTAAATCTGGCCAGTCATTGCAAGAAAAAGCAGCATCGCGCAATTCAAACTCTAAAAACAATAATGCAAAATAATTTTAAATCATAATTTTAACCCTATTTGAAAATACAATTTGACCAAATTCTTTTTTACCTTTAGTATAATTTCATTTCCAAATCTACAGACATGAAGACCATGAACGTCATGGCAACCTGGTAACATAAAGCATGAAGAATTTCGTTGGATTTTTTGAGTGGCGATATCTGTTAAAATAATAATAAATTTTTATAAATTAAATTTGAATTATTAGGTATTAGGTCATAAAATTTTACCGTAGACATTTGAAAACCAGTAATGCAAATGACTACAACACTTAGTAGAATTGAACAAACCATGATACTCTAAAAATGCTTTCAACA